ATTTTAACTCCCATTGCACTAAAACTTATATTCCCTTAATTTGCCATTTTTCCAAATATTTTGGTTGGTAATCATAAGTGTTTTGTTGTGTTTTTGTTTTTTCATTTTTTTAAATTGACTTCAGAGAGGAAGGTAGAGGGCGCGATAGAAACATCAATGATGAGAGAGAACCACTGATTGGCTGCCTTTTGCATGCCAATCACTGGGCATCGAGCCCATAACCCAGGCATGTGCGCTGGTTCATAGGTCATTGCCCAACCACTGAGCCACACCAGCTGAGCTAAATGTTGTATTTTAAATTTACTACATTTAAGGGAATGTAGTAACTATTCTATAGACATATTTAATGTCTGTGTCTATAAGAAATGCAGAAACAAATGAACATGAAATCATTGTTTCCCCAATAACCATCCAAAAAAAGAAGAAAGGAATTGTTTTTATAACAATGGCTTTGTTGTCAATGTATCTTAGTCATACTTTAGCCGTGATGAAGTGTACCTGTTATTGTTTCTGGAAATGTAAAAGCTGTGAAAGGAAAACCAAACATAATACATGTACGTATTAGAGAAATAGAAGAAAGCTCCCCGTGTCTATGGTGATGTTTCCTCCCTTTTCTCAGCACTTCGTTCGATTCCACCGTCCGGCTGTGGGACGTGGAGCGCGGCGTGTGCATCCACACTCTCACCAAACACCAGGAACCTGTCTACAGTGTCGCTTTCAGCCCCGACGGCAAGTACCTGGCCAGCGGCTCCTTTGACAAGTGTGTGCACATCTGGAATATTCAGGTAATCCCCGATTCCTTTCTCTGAGTAACACCCAAGTCGTTTCAGTGACCCAGGCTCAAAACCGTCGCTGGGGAGTTTGTGCTGAGTCGCTTCTAAGTCCCTGGCATGAAACCCTCTGCCTGCCTCATCCTTTTCTGGGGTACCAGCCGTCGTCTCAGACAACCAGCATCTCAGACAACCGTAACCCAGTCCTCTTGTCTCCAGAGATGCTGCCCTCGAGGGACTAAGGTTGGGGCGACAGGTGTCATTCCATTTGCACTTTCCGGGGCCCAGCTAAGGGGGCGGGGCCAGCCACTCCACATCAAGTAGCACATGGGAGGGTACAAAGGAGTATCTGTTTGCTTTGTTGTGCCGTTTTGATTTTTCTAATGAAACTAGTTTATGTTTCTGTGGGAAAGGGTATGTCAGTATTGGGTTGTGCTATTGGCAGAACTAAAAGGAGATAGCATTTGAGTAAATGTAGCCGTGGGTATCGCTGGCTGCACCTGAGACGACAGATTCTGAATATAAAGTGTGGAAGTGGGTGGAAGATATAGCAGGGGGTGTTATGTTGGGGAGTCACCTCTCGGTTCTCTAGCTGATGGAAGAGATATGGTCGGAGCCATTGCAAACAGCCAGGGATCCAGTTTGTGTGACCTCAGGGTGGATGTAATGGCCTCCCCTCTCTCCTTCTAATCCAGTCTGCCTTCTGGCTTCCCTGTGGTTGCATTGAAATTGAGGTGCATTTTTGAGTCCATGCCGCCTTGTGGGAAGGGTTGGTAGTACATGAAGCAAGTGAACTGGTATGGGGTCCACTGAGACCTCAGGCTTTCAGAATCTGCCTCCATTGGGCTGCATCCTCGTGGAGAGGGAGAGATGAGGGTGGGCCCCATGCGGAACCAGCCTGCCGCCAAGCCTCACAGCCCAGATAGGCCAGGTGGAAAACGTGCATCCAGCAATACTGTGCGAGAGTCCCTCTTCATAGAAGCAGTGAGGGGTGGATGTGTAAAGTGACATCCTAAAAAATGGCATTAGGTATTGCCCACGGCCAAAAGCTCACCAAATTATGTCCCTCCTGTTTTATAAATCACAAACCTCTTTTTTATTGTTTTATTGCTTAAAGTATTACAAACAGTATTACATATGTTTCCTTTTTTTCCCCCGCCCTTGACAATCCCCTAGCCTCCCCTAACCCCAGTGTCTTATGTCCATTGGTTATGCTTATATGCATGCATACAAGTCCTTCGGTTGATCTCTTACCCCCCCCCCCCCTCCTGCCTCTCTACCCTCCCCGGCCTTCCTGCTGCAGTTTGACAATCTGTTTGAGGCAGGTCTGCCTCTGTATCTATTATTGTTCATAAGTTTATAATGGTCTTTATTATCGATGAATGAGTGAGATCATGTAGTATTTTTCTTTCATTGACTGGCTTATTTCACTTAGCATAATGCTCTCCAGCTCCATCCATGCCGTTGCAAATGGTAAGAGTTCCTTCTTTTTTACAGCAGCATAGTATTCCATCGTGTCGATATACCACAGTTTTCTAATCCATTCATCTACTGATGGGCACTTAGGCTGTTTCCAGATCTTAGCTATGGTGAATTGTGCTGCTATGAACATAGGGGTGCATATATCCTTTCTGATTGGTGTTTCTGGTTTCTTGGGATATATTCCTAGAAGTGGGATCACAGGGTCAAATGGGAGTTCCATTTCCAATTTTTTGAGGAACCTCCATACTGCCTTCCATAGTGGCTGCACCAGTCTGCATTCCCACCAGCAGTGCACAAGTGTTCCTTTTTCTCCACATCCTCTCCAGCACTTGTTGTTTGTTGATTTGTTGATGATAGCCAGTCTGACAGGTGTGAGATGGTACCTCATTGTTGTTTTGATTTTCATCTCTCAGATGATTAGTGACTTTGAGCATGTTTTCATATGTCTCTTGGCTTTCTGAATGTCCTCTTTTGAAAGGTGTCTATTTAGATCCTTTGCCCATTTTTTGATTGGATTGTTTATCTTCTTTTTGTTCAGGTTTGGGGAAATGCCTTTAGCCATTTCCAACAGCTGACTACATGTGTGACTCAACCCTGTTGAATCCCCTGGTCTCATCAACCTTTTGATGAAACTCTTAAAATTATGACATGCTGGAATTGGTCTACAGCAGGTGGGACATAGGTAATACTTACAACAATAAAGAATTATTAAAAATAAAAAGAAGTCAGCGTGTTTTGCCTGTCTCATCTCAGCAGTAGTTTAATACACAAGACTTAGCTTTAATAAGTCTTTTGGGTAGTTTCTGAGACAATGAGATTGTTGAGAACTAGAGGATGGGGAAAGGTCAGCTTCGGGCCCTGTGCAGACCTGGCAGAGAGGCAGTTTAAGGTCCTGTGCAGGGTGTGGGTGGAGGCTGAGTGGGGCCTGTGCAGCTTGGTGGAGAAGGTCAGCTGTAGGCCTCTGTGAAGGACCAGAGAGGAAGGGCTGAGGGGCGGGCAGCTGCAGGGGTTCGGAGGAGAGGAAACCTGGTTCACAGTTCACTCTTTTAAATGAGTAGTTTAAGGCTTTATACTTATCAGGTGGATACTGGAAACTGCTATGGGTTGCTTCTGAGAAGACCTCCAATGTTCCCTGCTTCCTGTGTAATCCCCTCCCGCTGAGAGTGACTTGGAATGTCAATGTTGTGACTGACTTCTTGCTAGTACACTCTCTCTGCTGCCCTCTTGCCTTATATGATGTTGGGAAACCCATGTGACAAGAAGCGGTGGGTGGCCTCTTGCTGCTGGGGGAAGCCTCTGCTTACAGCCAGAAAAATACTGGCGCCCTTAGTCCTATAACCACAAGAAACTGCATTCTGTGTGAGTCCAGAAGCAGAACTGTCCCCAGCATAACCTGCCTGCCTGCCACAGTCCCATGAATGCTAACTGACTCCATCAAACTGCTGGGTCAGAGAGAAAGGAGAATCTATTACTATGACACAGCAGCGGAGGATCACCATTTTGGTGCCAGATCTCTGAGCCCCAAATCCCATGTGAAGATGGGGAGGTGACATCTGCATACACAGTGGGTGGCATCACAGAAAAGGAACTGCAAGCTTAGAAAAACCCATGGCTTTAATAATGGGCAGTGAGAACGCCTGCCCTTGGCTCAAAGGGAGACCTCATCTGCAGCTCCTAGGACAGAATGCAAGCCTGCCCTTTGTTCCAAAGCATGTCAAAGCCTGCCCTTTGACATGCTCTTTCAAAACAGTTTCCTACACACCAGGGAACAAGGGCAGACAGTGCCTTGTGCAAGACAAGCAGAACCATGAGGGACCCCAGAGAACTGTCTCCCATCAAGGCAACAGATAACTTTCACTTTCAGGAAATTGTGTTATGAACAAGCACCCTCTCCAATAGGAAGGCTCTTCTATACAAGTCAACTAAGGACGGAGAACCTGATTTGATAAAGGATGCGGCATAGTTATTCCTTGCTGTTATCACTAACCTAGTGACACTACACATTGGTGACTGTCTGACAGCCTCTGCAGTCAGGAGCAGGGCATGGCATAAGCAGTCCCTCTGATTCGGGGTTCACAAGACCAGGGTTTTGGCTGAGACTGTGGTCTCTCCTGAGTGTCCAGGAGGAAAGGAGATGCTTCCAATCTCACCCCGGTTGTGGGCAGAATTCGGTTTCCTGCAGGTGTAGGACTGAGGGTGGATCTCCTGTGGCTGTGGCTGCGGCTGCAGGCGTCCTCAGCTCTGAGAGGCCACAGGGAGTTTCTTTACCCATGGGCCTCCCCAGCGCGGCCACTTGCTGCTGCACAGCCCACAGAGCAGAGGGCCAGCAACTCCAGCTGAATGGGCGCTGCAGTCTGTGTGAGGGAACCCATCATTGTGTCAGTGCCACCATGGTGGACAGTGGTCTCCTGCTGTCCTCAGATGTGTTCCTGGATGGGGCTGGATGGGATCAGAATCAGTGGGGTGGGTGCCAGGGTGTCCTACCAGGAGCCACCATTTGGGGTTGAGTGACAGTGTGTGTGTGTGAGGAGGGTGTGGGCATGAGGTGCCTGTGGACTCAGAAACTTGAGTGAAGTGGCTGCTGAATTGTCATTTGAGTGATCTGACTGGGTGTGTCTCTGTCCCACAGCCTGACCATTCCCTGACCCAAGGCCCTGAAGGTCAGCAAGTGGAGCAGTGAAGCAGGGGGTCCCTCGGGGGTGAGGACGACGGAGCCCTAACGAGGCATACACGACTCTGGAGACCAGGTTTTGTGACGCAGATCTAAGTTTATTGTGTAAGTGCAGCAGTATATATAACATTTTGGACCAATCAGAAGTTTACACAATCCTTAGGGCAGCCAATGGTAGGAAAGATCAGGGTACTGTGTAGTGGCTCTAGGAGGCTTGCTCAGGCGGGCGTTGCCACTTCCTGGTGTGCCGAGGAAGCTTGTATAGGCGGAGTGTGCTCACGCCATTGCATCCGCCACTGCACTGAGATAGATCTCCTGAGCTCTTCCCACATCTCCCCTTTCTTTTCTTATTAGCGCCTGCTGGACGTGTATGATCATGGCTTGCTGGGCACTTAGCTTAAGGAATATGTTGTATAAACAGCGAAATAATACTATTCCTATGACGAATCCTACTATCATGACTCCCCAGATGAGGAGGTTGGCTGGGTTTAACCAGGAGGTTAGATGGCTGAGGGCATTACTTAAGAAACTAAACTCAATGGGCTTTACTCGGGTATTGCTGATTCTTAGGATTTCTCGCTGGAGCTGATAGGTGCTGTTTAGGAATGCCTGGCTGAATGGACCTTTAAGGAGATTTGCTAATGTTTTGCGCTCCCAGAAGGCATTTCTCACTGGAATGGGCATTATACAGATGGCACACATTAATAGGAATAATGTCCCTGCCGACGGATTGCCTTCTGGGGCCATGCGTGCAGCTTGGTCTTGTAGGTTCTTGAGGGCCCGTCAGTGCCTTGGTTGCCTCCACCGTCGGGGCTGGTTGTCCTCTATGGTCAGGTCCTCCATTTCCTCTACCGAGGGTGATGGTGATGGTGGTCTACGGCTCATCGCTGGTGGTGCAGGGTTTGATGTTACAGGCAGGAATCCACGCGGGATTTTTCTCACCTTCTGGAAAAATACAAGCAAACCCTCTCCCTTGGGTTAAGAGTGGGTCGGGGCCCTTTCAAGCCCCGGTTAGTGGATCTCTCCACCGGACCAAGGGGAGAGGTGTTGGTATGTCTCTGAGACCTCCCCAATGTTTGAAAATGGGAGGAAGACTGTCGGGGGCAAAATGAAAATAATTGAGAGTTAATAAGGCCTGTTGTAATAGTTGTTGGGGTGTGCCTGTATTTCCCCCTTCTTTTTCTTTTTGAATCTGGGTTTTTAGTTCTTTGTTCTGTCGTTCTACTATGGCTTGTCCCTGTGGGTTATAGGGAAGTCCTGTTGTATGTTAGATTTGGTGTTGTTTTAGGAATTGCTGGAATTGTTGGCTGGTGTAGCAGGGGCCGTTGTCAGTCTTTATTTCCCACGGGAAACCTAGCATAAGGAACGCATTCCGCAGCGCAGTGATAGCATGCGAGGAGCGTTCACCGGCTGCCGCGTGAGCATACACTGCTCCTGAGTGAGTATCTATAATGACATGGACATATTTTAGTCTCCCAAAAGAGGGAATATGAGTAACATCCGCCTGCCACAGCACATTGGGTTGCAGTCCACGGGGGTTAGTTCCCTGTGGTTGTAGTGGACCTAAGGGTAGTAATGGCCCACAGCTGCGGCATGCTCTTACAAGGTGCTTACAGGCCGCAAGCGTGAGTTTGGGGAATAATTGGTGTAGGCTGGCGGCTGACATGTGGAATTTATTGTGTAAGAGTCTGGCTTCCTCTACTGGGGTTAGGGTTAGTACTAGTCTATCTACCTGTTGATTTCCTTCTGCTAGAGGACCAGGTAAACCAGTATGAGCTCGGATATGCTGGATATACCAAGGATGTTTTCTGTTTTCTAATATGCTTTTTACTTGTTCTAATGCCTTATCTATTGGTGTCTCTCGGGCTCTAAAGGTGGGATAGCCTAGTGCCTTAACCGTATGAACAGTGTAAGCACTATCTGAAAATAAGTTGACAGGCATGTCTGGACAATAGGTTAGGGCATATGCAATGGCTAACAGTTCTCCTACTTGTACTGATCCTGTATAAGTGTACTTGAAGTAATAAGGTTTCCAGTGTGGCTGATGACTTTTTATTACTGCCCCGCAATAATTTTTGCTAGCGTCAGTAAAAACTAAGGGTGCATGGGGAATAGGCTTAGAACTAGGTCTGCTAAGGCCATAGGTTTCCAACGGGATTTTCTGTAAAGTTTGTAAGATTCTGTCCTGAGGTAAGTGACTGTCAACCTGCCCTGGAAAATGTAATAGCAATAGCTGCGTATCAATATCATCAGCTAATAGCTGCTCTAACTGCTCGAGGGTGTATGGCAGAACAAGGGTGTCTGGTTCTCTGCCATACAGGGTAATACAAGCTTTTCGCAGTTTCCTTCCTATAAGGGAGTAGGCAGTGGTGGGGGGTGTTATTTTTGGCAGTTGGCTGTATGCTAGGTGTACCCAGTAGAGGGGGCCATTTTGGAATAACACTCCTGTAGGGGTGCCTAAGGTGGCTAGAACTATCGCTTGTATAGGTGACAGAGGGTCAAGTCTTTCTAATTTTTGCTCTCGGAGGGCTGTGTTAACTGCTTTCAGTGCCTCTTTTGCTTGTAAGGTGAGCTTCCTTATACTAAGGGGATTTGAATCTCCTTCTAAGAGACTGAAAAGAGGGTTTAACGTTTGAGTGGTTATTGATAAGCTAGATCTGACCCAATTGATTTGTCCACAGAGCTCCTGGAGCTCGTGGAGAGTTAATTGTTTGGGTATTTCTAGTTGGGGGGCTATTGGCCTAATATGTTCTTCAATTTTATACCCTAGAAAGGAATATTGGGAAAGTCTGTATTTTCTCTGGTGCCATGGTCAGGTTAAGAGCCTCAGGTTCTTTATCAAAGTTTCTTGAAAGGCCTCAAGCCATACCGGATCCCGGTGGGCTATCAAGATATCATCCATGTAATGGGTGATGAAACATTGGCTTGCTAGGGGCCTAGTGGCTATCCCTACAAAGGCCTGATAGATTGCTGGGCTATTTTTCATTCCCGGTGGGAGGACCTTCCAATGGTATCTTTCTGCTGGTAATTGGTGGTTGGTGGATGGTACCGTAAAGGCGAAATATTGCCGGTCCTCTGGGTGTAGGGGGATAGAAAAGAAACAATCTTTAATATCTATTATTTTTATTTATGCTCCTTTTGCTATAGCTGATGGGTGAGGGAGCCCAGGTTGCAGGGGTCCCAATTTCTTCATGTGTTTGTTAACAGCTCTAAGGTCCTGTAAAAATCTCCACCTTTTCTTGTCTTTCTTTTGTATAACAAATACTGGGGTATCCTGAGGGCTTAAAGAGGGTTCTATATGTCCTGCTGTTAATTGTTCCTGTACCAGCTGTTTTAAGGCTGCTATCTTTTCTTGTGGAAGAGGCCACTGCTCCACCCAGATGGGATCCTGAGTATCCCATTTTAGCTTAATAGGCTCGGGTAATGACGGGTGGGCAGTGGCCCCTAGAATTGACGGGGGGAGGGGGGGGTGCGTGGATATAGTCGCGTTAACTGCTTGTAAAATGTCTCGTCCCCATAGGGTGTGTGGAACTCCAGTCATAAATAATGGCCTGAAAGTGCCTTTGTTGCCGGCCGGTTCCCGCCATTCCAGGTCACGTGCAGCCTGGGTGGTCATTTTAAAACCGCTTACTACCTGAACTAGTGGCCGGCTGTGGTAGGCCATTTTGCGCTTCTCCTTTGTTCTTGTATTACTGAAATATCCGCTCCAGTATCTACTAGCCCTTCTATGTCCTGTCCTTCTATTGTTAACGTGAGGAAAGCCTTATTCTGGGCTAGGGGTAGAGCCCAATAGACTCCCTGCCGTTGCTCTCTTACTGGCGGGGCTGAGAGCTGCCACCCTTCTCGTTTAAATGCGGTAGGGCTTTTCCTTCTTTGTCTTTTGCTGATCGGCAGTCCCTTTTCCAGTGAAAGCCTTTACGGCAGCGGGGACATACCGACGGGGGCTTTTTATTGTTCCCCTGTCTTCTTGCTTTATTGGGGCATTCCTTTGCAAAATGTCCTATTCCTTTGCATTCGTAGCAGGCACCTTTCTGGGGCATTGTTTGCCCTGCGAGGTTAAGCTGTGCTGCTAGGGCGGTAGCTAGTGCCGCCGCCGCCGAGTGACTGCCTGCATCTCGACAAGCTAATACCCAGTCATCGATAGAACCGGCTTTGACCGGCCCAATGGCTTGTCGGCACTCTGCATTAGCTCCTTCCCATACAAGCTCCCTTGTAAGGGCTTCTACTGCCTCTCTGACCCTGTGTAAAAATTCTGAAAATCCTTCATTTGAGCCTTGTACTAACTTAGACAGCTGCGCTGGCTTGCCCCTAGGATTAATTTGGGCGAAAGCTCTCATCGCACAAAGGCGGACCTGATCGAAGTATTGGGCTGGCCCTTGAGCTTGAGCGGCTGGCGAGGCATACAGTCCCTCTCCCTGGAGGGCGTGTGCCGGAAGGTTAAGCCCTGCTATTCTATTCTGCTCCGCTTGTTCGCATTGTTCGTAATAGAGAGCTTTCCATTGTATCATATCCCCAGGCTGGAGGATAGTACGAGCGAGACTTTTCCAATCATACGGGCAATTTAACTGTATGCTAAAGTTTTCTAACAGTTGCTGAGTATACGGGGCTGAGAGTCCGTCTTCCTGCACTGCTTTTCTAATGGCCAGGAGGGTTTTCTGATCGGGCAGCAGCCAAGCCTGGGGCTGTGCCGCGGTAGGGTTTACATTGACTGGGAATAGTTGAGGCGGCTCTAACCCTAGGGAAGTTCTTGCTTGGTCCCTCTGTTGGCATAGAGATCGATATAATCCTGTCCACGGGTTATCATCTGTATCCCCTACAAAGGGATTCGTAGTGACTTTGCTTTGTTTCGCTGAGCTAGCGCTGTTTCGCCCTCTGTCGGCTCTGATGGTTTACTTTCGCTTTCTGCCGATTTCTGCTCTAGTCTTTTCTCAGTAAAGGCGGTCCATGGATCTGCTGGGGCCGTGGGGTTAACATTCACAGGAAAGAGGCCAGGGGTCTCTAGCCCTAAAGATGTCTTTGCCCTATCCCTCTGGCTGCACATGGATCGATATATCCCCGTCCATGGATTATCATCCGTGTCCTCCACGAAAGGGTTACTTGGGGGCCGCTGGGCAGTTAAACTTTCTGTTCGCTCTGCGAGGGGAGTGGGGGAGTGACTCTGGCAGGAAGCCTCCTGGCCAGACTCCCCTGCTTTCACCTCGCTAGAGGTTTTTTCTGTCTCAGTTTCAGCTGTCCGGGAGCTTTGAGAAACTCCTTTTGTCTTGTCGAAAACAGCCCAGGGATCTGCGGGGGCAGAGGGCTCTGGAGGGGAACAGGGAGGCAGAGGGTCTTCTGTTCCCCCGCCCGCACCGCCGGTGGTGGAGAGAGCCTCCGGGATGGGAAGTGCAGGCTCGGGCGGGGCCCCGCTTAGGCAGGCTAAGATGGCTAAAATAGCAGGTGCGAGAGAAAGCGGAAAAGTCTTTCCCTCCTGGACTTCTGCTGATCTTATCTTCTGTAATGCTTCCTCCCATGTACTGGGGTCCCAAATGGGGTCTTCTAGCAACCAAGGGTTAAATGCTATTAGGACATCCCAGAGCTTTTGTAGCTCCTTTTCTGTTACTTTTACTCGGCTACTCTGTAACAACGCATGAAGCGCGTGAGCCTGATGGGCTCGGGCTGAGGGGGGAAGATTGCCCATCATTACAGAGGGTCACTCACCCGTCCTGGTGAGTGCCATGCTCAAGGCGCCAGATGAAGCAGGGGGTCCCTCCGGGGTGAGGACAATGGAGCCCTAAAGAGGCATGCACGACTCAGGAGACCAGGTTCTGTGACGCAGATCTAAGTTTATTGTGTAAGTGCAGCAGTATATATAACATTTTGGACCAATCAGAAGTTTATACAATCCTTAGGGCAGCCAATGGTAGGAAAGATCAGGGTACTGTGTAGTGGCTCTAGGAGGCTTGCTCAGGCGGGCTTTGCCACTTCCTGGTGTGCCGAGGAAGCTTGTACAGGCGGAGTGTGCTCACGCCATTGCATCCGCCACTGCACTGAGATAGATCTCCTGAGCTCTTCCCACAGAGCAGGGGCCCAGGACAGGAAGCACTTACTGGGCTTTTCCCCAAAGGCCTTGGCTGGAAGCCCAGCATCACTGTCCATGGAACCACCAGGGAGGAGGCGCGTTTTCCTGAGAGCTGGGGCTGCATCTGTGATTCTTGGGGGCAGGAGTCCTGCAGCTGGTGGAGGCCGGGTTTGCATTTCCTCCAGCTCCCACTCCAGCACCCAAACTCGCCGTCCCTGACCAGGCCCTTCATGGACTTCCACCCACTGCCCTGTTCACAGGGTCTGGCCCTACAGGGTGAAAGCACCGGCACAGAGGAAATCAGCGCGCCCCTCACCGCCCCAATCCCACGGGGAGCGAGCAAATCCAGCCTGGAAGTGCGGCAGCTCAGGGCGGAGGCAGCTCGGGCTCGTAGTGACAGGACCGGGCGCAGACGGAGAGGCCGGGACGGTCCTGTCACAGCTCAGACTCCAGCTGACCGGGTCCTGGTTCTGGCTCCACGCTGCGCCGGGGACGGAGGCGGTACCAGCGGGCGGCCCCAGCAGCCTCCCCGAGGCAAGCAGAGCCGGACCGCGGGCTGAGGCGCCTCCCGCGAGACCCGGTCCTTCCAGGCCCCGCCCCCGGGCCCCGCGCAAAGCAGGACGGGAAACTAAGACGGGTCCCATCGTTTGGTTTTAGAGCGGGAGCCAACGCCCGCGGTCCTCAGCTGCCGCTGGCGGTTTCCCGGGAGCGGGGGACGGAGCGGGAGGAAACGCTGCAGCGGCGGCGGAGTCCCCGTGACCGACTCTGCTGTGGCCCCGGGGGCGCAGCCGGGCTCCCGCGCCTCACGCGTCCCGAGTGACTCAGGTGAGGCCGGGCCCGCGGCGCCCCTCCCCGCGCCGCCCCCCGGCCTCCTTCCGAGCTGAGCGCGGTGTCCGCGCGGCCGCAGCTCCGGGCGGGCCCGCCCCGCTGCCGGCGCTGCCTGAGGCCCCGGCTCAGCCCGCGGGTCTCGCCGACCCTGAGGCCCCGGAGGCGGCCCTTCGGCCCAGACCCGGCTCCGGTGCCTCCTGGTTCCCCCCGCGCCGCCTCGCGGTGCCCCTGGCAGGTCCTTGTTCCCAGGAGGCGAGGCCGCGGTCTCCATGCGAGCGCATCAGTTCAATGCGGTGCTGTTACAGGGGCCCCGGGAAGCGCACACACAGTTGGGGCTGCAAAGATCTAAATATACTAATCAGCACAAAGTGGTCATTGTTCTGGGCAGGCGATTCTTTAATTACTGATTGTGTGGCTTCCTCTCAGAGTGTTAGTATGTTGTTTATCCCATTGACTAGAATATAGGAAGTCCGGCTGGATTTTGTGGTTTTTTTTTTTTTAATATACTTTATTGATTCTTTACAGAGAGGAAGGGAGAATGATAGGGAGTTAGAAACATCGACCAGAGAGAAACAGCGATCAGCTGCCTCCTGCACACTCCCCACTGGGTATGTGCCCGCAACCAAGGTACACACCCCCGACCAGAATCTAACCTGGGACCCCTGAGTCCGCAGGCCGCTCTATCCACTGAGCCAAACCGGTTAGGGCTTTGTGGGTTTTTTGTGTAAGTTTTATAAGGCTCTGTGGGGTGCACAGTCCTCTGCCAGGGGCTGTACCCCCGTGGACGCCGGGTAGTAGACAAGACATGAGAAGACAGAGGCATATAGGAGACTCTTTTTAAAAAAATATTTTATTCATTTTTTTTTTTTACAGAGGGGAAGGGAGAGGGATAGAGAGTTAGAAACATCAATGAGAGAGAAACATCAATCAGCTGCCTCCTGCACACCCCCTACTGGGGATGTGCAGCAACCAAGGTACATGACCTTGACTGGAATCAAACGGAGACCCTCCAGTCTGCAGGCCGATGCTCTATCCACTGAGCCAAAGCGGTTAGGGCAGGAGAGTCTTTTTTGCAGGCCATGTAGCCATTGCTAACAAGGAGCCATCAGACAAAACAGTTCTTCAAAGTAACTTCACACAGTGGCTGGGCCAAGCAGCCCTTGCTAATACAGTAGCAAACAGGAGCCATACCAAGCAGCCACGCACCGGCTGGTTAGTAACACGTTTATACTAACTTAGACACAAAGGCTTCCTGCCAAATAGTGACATCAGTATTTGGGTTATAGTAAGGTACTCCTGCCCAGTGTGTTCAGTACAATCTCTGTGTCCTTGCTTAGATTGGCCTTGAACATCCTGATTAGGGTTCTCCTGCTCAGATTGGCCTTGAACATCCGGCGTACTCTGATTAGGCTCCCACAGGCACTATCTCAGTCATGGCCCAGGTTTAAGTGTTCTCAAAACTGACTTATCAGAAGGAGGAAAAAGTGTCATGAATGTGACATAACTGTTATCTCAGGAATAACACTTAATTCACAGAAAACATAACTGCAACCCTAGAGGAGCTGCATGGGAACCACAGGCTCAGATATTTCAGCCAAGAAAGCTGCTGGTGCCAAAAAGACCTCAGAGGAGAAACAAAATCAAACTGTTTGTGATGTGAAAGCCATTTCAAACACTGTTTTTAAAGGTTGTCTAGTGCTGACATGAATGTTTGTTTTGATTCCTGTATTTGAGGATTGCAGCTTAACTGCTGTGCCACAAAACCGTTTTTCATATAAGAGTTGTCTCTGAGACAGAACTGGCATCCACCTTCTACAGTGTCCGAATTTGACTGGCTGTCAGTTACTGTTCGTAGAAATGTTCTGGAAGTAAGGGGTGAGGGCTGTTTCCACCCACACCTCATCCACTTCTTTGTAGTAATAAGCTGAACTGTAGTAGATTATGTTCTTTCAAAGCTAGAACTGTTAAGTTTGCAAACAAGCATGACTGTTCCATTGCCAGTTATTTTATTCATGCCTTGGTCTTTTGGGTTTGCACCAGAAATTGGAATTGCTTGCCATTATTTGTTTAAGTGGATTGAGGCTCAAAATTAATGATGATATTTAATAGTTTCTTAAAGCATCAAGTGGTTCAACTTTTGATGAATTAGAAATGATATGTAGTTTTTGTTTGTTTCATTTCAATATGCCAGTGATCTGTTAGGTGTGCTTTTTAAATGTTGTCCCAGCATTTGAACAGAAATGCCCTTAAATGTTGAGAGCCATCCTATCTGATAAAAGAGAAACATGGTAATTAGCCGTACCTCCGCTACCTTTCCCATTAGCTAATCAGGGAGATATGCAAATTAACTGCCAACCAAGATGGCGGCCAGCAGCCAGGCAGCTGACCCGAACAGGGAGGCTTGCTTGCTTCAGAGATGGAGGAAGCCAAGCTTCCCCGACTGCTTTCCCGGACTCTGAGCTGCACT